CCCCCCGGTAAATATCGTACAGTCCCTTAGGAGTATGGATCATTCTAAAAACTGTTCAGAAACCATTGCCATATTCATATGTGGCATCAGAGATACCTGCACAGCTCCAATTTTACCTGCACTAACCTGCATATACCCAGACCCAGTAAATGGACCAGTGCAGGTTAGGTGCAGGTAGACATCAGAAATACCTGCACAGCTCCAATTTTACCATAATATACATGTGGTAGTTCAGATCCTGATAGTAGATTGCCGTACCTACCTTACACAGCTCATACTCCTTCCTGATGTAATGCTGGTGTATCAGCCAGTTCTTACACTCAAATATGGGCAGCTCAGGAGCTGGAGACACATGACAACTACTCAGTCATACTCATAGCAACACGAAGATTAAAATCAATGCTCCTAATTATAGGCCATGTTCATTTGAATTTTGATTATATGGATGACATCCTCTGGGAACCCGAAACTGACAACAACAATAAAGTTTTCTTCATTATGATATCTACATGGTCATAAAGGTTGAACTTAACACACAGAGTATGGTATGGCGAATAAGACTTTAGAATTTTCATTTCTTCACATTTTCTTCAGTCCAGATCTATTCAACCCATGGCATACTAGTGCTAGTAGTTTACAAAATTGCATGTTGTTGGCAAACATTTTTACATGATTTTGAAAAATACATGCAAAATTAGTATATTATAGGAGCATGCGGACTTGAGTGAGTGAGTGAGTGAGAATGCAGTGAGAATGGGTATTTCTAGCACTGTTCTAGCCTCAGTCCCAGTCATCCCACAGGTCAGATCAAGGTTGGACTGTTACCTCATGATCAGGTGATACGTAATGGGTACATGCATGTTGTATTCTCTATTTTATGTAATCATCCATTTATTAGTACCTTTCTTTGGTCGTGGTTTGGGCTGTGGCTGTGGTGGAGACTTGACAGGTTCAGGAGCCAGCAGTGAGCTGCCGACAGCCATGTCTGTGTCTGGTGTCTGCTCATCACCCTGCAGACAAACACACATGACACATATAGTGATGCATACCGGTTCACTGGACTTGGATCCGGACTTAGAATGTTTAGGTTCAAGTCCAAAAAAGCCTAAAAGTCAAGAACCGAGTCCGGACTTATTACCATAAAAGACCATTTCACAAACCCCTTTTCTTTCCAAACCACCTAAAACCTTCCATAGATTGTAAAAATGAAGAAAACATTGCCATCGGGCATCGTCAAGTACCGGCCTCCACGTTATGTGGCCAAAGTTTCACCCAGACAACATTGCAAGGTTGCCAACATGCAATTTTGTATATACCATGGGTTTAGGTGTGGACTTACAAGTCCAGAACTGAACCTAAACCTCTGGACTTGAATCCAGACCTGAACCTAAAATTGGGTTTAGGTATGCATCACCAGACACATAACGTGGGGTCGTGTGGCGCAGTCGGTAGCGCGTTCCACTCACACCCAAGAGGTCGCGGGTTCGAACCCTGCCCATGTCACCGATCTTGGGAAAGGCACTTTACACGACTTTCCTCACTTCGCTCAGGTGTAAATGAGCACCTAGCTTCGGTTAAGGACGTCCCTCGGATAGGACGTTAAATGGAGGTCCCGTGTTTGGGGAGAGCCACACCCCACGCACGTTAAAGAACCCACCGCACTTATCGAAAAGAGTAGGGGACCTTCCCAGTGTGAGTGGTTCAACATTACAGTCCGGGGGGTTGTACTGTCTTTGAGTTTCACATCACTGTTAAATCTTTTTTAAGAGCCATTGCATGAGAAAACCAAGCAAAATCGGTGGGAGGCCGGAAGATGGCCGAAAGTTGTTTCAGTGACAGTTGGCAGTACACTTAGCACAATATAAGTTAGGTATCATTTAGCCGTGGACGACTCTGGTAATCCTTTTTGCATGATCATGCAAAAAGGATTACCATAGTCGTCCATTCCTAGGTATCATTTCTTGTTTAACTGAGTACCTATGGACCACATCTAGCGACATATTAATAGACGTTAAACAAGGACAACAACAACAACAACAATTTAACAAGGTTTATGATATCATTATCAAACAAATTTGAAAATGTTGGAATCTTTACTTGCCGTGGCCTAATATAACCTTAGTAGTCAAGATCAGCGCTGGTAAAAAAAAAAAAAGAAATTATGCTGAGACTCAAGAGAGAGGAGTTCGACAGAAATTATAAAAACACCTATAACTAAATTACTTGTGGATCTGTCCTTGACAACACTGACAGTTCTCAGTTGACGACTGCTGGCACAACTTAACGAGCTGTTTTCTAGTAGTACATCTGCCGGAGGTTTAAAATAATTTTATAACAAGTTGTCAAAACAGCAGACGTCTCATAAAAATTATAGCTCACAGAGCAGTTTATGACTACGCATAATTGCATGACATCTACATTGGCAGCAGAATAAGCTTGTAACAATGTCGGTAAGTAAACACAAACCTGAATGTTCCCGGAATCCAGTTGTTTGGCGCTTTGTGCCGGATTCACACTTGAATCCTGCTCAGTTTCCGCCATTTTGCTCCAAACTATTTTGAGGCCTCACACAGCAGTTCAAGTCGACACTAATGTGCGGGACTAGCGACCTTCCTCTGTACTGCAGCGGAGGATGAGCAGGATATTGATAGATTTTGTTTTGGCAGGTAGGTGCCTTAGGTGATCACATTGGGATACACATAGGGCTGTGCACCAGTCTGCAGTACCGGGAAAAAAAGATTAGGTAACGTTAAGGGCAATTAAATGTCCAAAATACTAATAACGTTACCTCAACAGGGGGTATTGTACCGGTATCCAGTTACACCAAGGACACATAATACTATTATATGCTTATTTCTGACAAATAGGGAAAGAGCTGGTCCCCCATGTGTCCCAGAGACAGGACTATGTATTTGTGTTACAGACTGACAGTGGGTCGTCAAGGGTACCATTATTTGGCCAAGTTTAGTAACGTTAATACTCAGGTAATACCTCCATACCTCTGTACGTGTACCAGTACATGAATTATTACATTAACATCCACAGTTTGTTGGTTGGTTGACATGCCCTGCAGATGTAGATGACCTTGATCCCTCCCCTTAAGTCATCCTCGTGATTCTGAGTTGATAATGTATTGTACTGTATTGTAATGTACTGTACTTGTAAGACTTCCAATGAGCTGGAGCATCCTAGAAAGTCAATAAAAGCACATATGTATGGCTCCCACCAGCCTGATCATGAGGGCCTTGTCTTTATTTACATAATTATTTTTATTTATTTATTCTCCTGCCCACATTATGAATGCCATTTCCGGGCAAAAATCGGACTTAACAGTCAGTCATGAGGACACATTCCCACTAGCCTGGGTGCCATCTGATTTGTAACGGCAACCCTGGGTGCCATCCGATTTGTAACGGCAACCCCGAAAAATTTTTACAAATCGGATGGCACCCAGGATAACATCCCACTACAGATGGATGACAAAGTGGTCCTCATCAAGCTGACAAACGACACATAAGCTAAGGCCACACCAATCTAACTTGTTGGTTCTTCGGATTTTTTTTCTGATTTCAAAAAAAAAAACTGAATCAACTCAAAAATGCTCATATTTTGCCCCCAACAGTTGAGGAAAGTCATGTTCTTCCTAAATGTTGCAGTTTTTCCATCTATCAATACAGTGGTTTGATTACAAGTTCAAAATTCATTGTTTAGATATCAACCCAGCCTTTTGTGTTGACGCCATGGCTCCTACCATAGCATTTGGGTCTAACCCTGTTTTTATTTATTTTTTCTCCCTGTCGCTTCACATTTTTTCTGGAATAATCCGCGAACCAACACATTTAATTGGTTTGGCCAAACATGCCTGTTTTTATTGACATATGATTATGTGCCAGTAGTTGCCAAACTTTGTACCTTGTACAATTCTTGTGCAATAAAGTTTTAAAATCTATGATTTGCAAAGTCATTAGCTTCTAGAACACGGAAAGTAACCAATATTCAACCAAGAAGGTTAAATTCAACAGATTAAATTCAATTTGTTTCCAGCTTTGGTCCCACACAATCTGCCACATATCCTCAGAACTGTCATAATTTTTTAAGTGTGTTGTAAGGCCACACCAATTTAATTTCTTGGTTAACGGATTCGCCTGCTTCATTTTTTTCATTGCAAATAAAAATAAAAATTCGGAATCAAGTGCAAAATGCTCATATTTTGCACTGAACAGTTGAAAACAGTCCTTTTCATCCTAGTTGTTACAGTTATTCCATCTTGCAATGCAGTGGTATCATTAAAAGTTCAAAATTCATTGTTTAGATTTTGAACCAGCCTAATGTGTTGACTTCATGGCTCATATTGTACCATTTTGGGCCATAATACTTTAATAGGATGCCTAGGCCTGTACTTATTTTTTTTTTTTTCGCCCGCCCACTCCATTATTTTTCTTCAAAAATCTGTTAACCAAGAAATCAAATTGGTGTGGGCTAAAAGATCCATTTTCTGCCTCAGAAAATTATTATGACACCAAGGGGACAAAAATGAAGCATTTAACTGCACAGATTCGCACCAGAGTATACACGATTCTCCAGATGTTGAACATCAATTTTAATCATGATGATAATGTCTATTTAACGTTCTTTTATTACTGACATCTTCAGTGTAATGTGTGAAAGGCAATGCAATTCAGTGATCTACAAGCCTGCCATGTTGATTTTGATAACATTTTATTTGATTTGTTATGATATCTGTAAATTGCATAAAGGTGACTGAAACTCTGAGATATACATATTAATAGAAAACCATCAGCAATAGATCAGGTAAAACAAATGACTGCCCTGGTCATCTAAGACTAAGAATTATACTTTTGACCATAAAAATCTTTAATTCTTCTTCACATCCTTTATCATTTTTACATGTAGCTAGCTACAGATGCTAAGCTATACAAAATGATAATTCTAATTAAAGACTAGCCAGGATATCCCCCAAAAATAATTTCAGCAGGTTGGTAGCACATTAAGGATGTTGGGGTTTTCTTTCACACAACCAGTACTGTCTTTCATCTGCTACGTCTTGATGCAAAAATGCCACCTACATCAGCTACATATAGCAACAAGAAGCAGTACTCCAGTCTAAATTTCTGTGGAAGATGTCTGAAAAAGAAAACCCACATATCCTGGCCAGGATAACCCAAGGAACATGCCCGTAGGGTTTGGAAGACCCCCCCCCCCAAGGCTCAAAGGTCCACTTTTTGGTCCATTGTTTATCTAAAGGTCCAACATTTCTCTTTAGATGGACTGATTCGTATCAGCAGCGGGGCTGGAATCATATAAAAACTGCCTACTTTGTCATTGAATAAAAAGTTATTATTATCTCTGATTTTTTTTCTCTGAAATCCTATCAAACCGTAGTAAATGTCATTTCAGAAGGTTCATTTTTCAAAATTTCCCGGGGGAGCATACCCCAGGACCCCCCTAGGAACCTCGCGTCTACGGCGCTCGCTGGTCCCCTCAAGCAGTGGGAAGAACCCCCCATTCAAAATCCTGGCTACGGGCATGAGGAACACCACTTAATATGTAAACACTGTACATATTAATATATTATGTCAGAGAACTGCTCCTGTTTCAGCAGGCCTCATACTTCAGGTACTGTTTGAGTCTGGGAGGCAGCGGGAGCTTTGACATAGCAAAGGTGGAGCACCTGCACTGGTTCCGAATCAGCTCTCGACAGTAGTCCTGCAGGTTTGGCACTGGAAAAAGAAGAAAGTAGAATCAATGGCATAGAAACACATGCATCTCTCCCACCCCTCTTTTTCTTCAATTTTCTTCAATATTGCAGTGAGTGAGCAATATTGCAGAGTGCCAAAATTACTACCGGTAGAATATTATAGAGTGAGGACTTAGTAGTAAACATAACATTATTGTATGCCGAGACACCATCGAACATTTTTTCAGTAGACGCAAAATTGCAGATTGCATAATTTTTCTTCTGCTATATTCAAAATGTCTCTGTAAAATGCAGACTGCAGATGGGTATTTTTAACAGCCATCAGGCTCACATGTGGCTCTGTAATCTGTCTCATCAGCATTTTTTAAAATTTTCCAAGCGTAACTTTGGGGGAATCCAGGGCTCCAACAATGTTCCAACAATGCACAACTACTGTTTGCTGAGTATTACATGTAGTTTCTATCTAAGGCCACAACACTTAAATTTCTTGGTTAAGGGATTCGCCGGCTTCATTTTTTTCTGATTTGCAATTAAAAATAAAACTTCATAATCAACTGCAAAATGCTCATATTTTGCCCTGAACAGTTGAAAATAGTCCTTTTCATCCTAGTTGTTACAGTTATTCCATCTTTCAATGCAATGGTATCATTGTGTAAATTTTGAGCCAGCCTGATGTGTTGACTTCATGGCTCCTATCGTACCATTTTGGGCCATAATAGGATGCCTAGGCCTGTTGTTTTTTTTCGCCTGCCGGCTCCATTATTTTTCTAGAAAAATCCGTTAACCAAGAAATTAAATTGGTGTGGCCTAATTGACTTGGGTTACAAAAGTTTGACTGGCATGTACCTCCATATAGTTGAATAAGACGTACTCTCTTGGTTGTCCCATAAACATCTACCACTGCAAACACAGGTTCAGTCCCTACAGGGATGTCTGTAGCCACTGGGCCTTGGTCCTCGCCATTGATTAACACGTGCATCTCTCCCACCCCTCTCTCTACGCTATACAGGACCCCGATCCTGCTGCCCACCGCCGTGGATTCCGTGTTCTGGTTCCGCACCATCCCCTCCGCGGCAGGCGGCGGCCTGAGCAGCCGCAGCAGGGGCGGGCGCGGCGTTCCCACCAGCTGTTCCCTCTCCACCACCTGGAACCCAGTTCTGATCACACCCTGGTCTAAATCTATCACTCGTTTCACCGTCCTGTCTGGCGGCGGCTCCTGCTCTGAATCATCATCCTCCGGCAGACTCAGGGGTGTCTTGGTGATGGCAACAACCCAGCTCTTCCCCATGTAGACCAGATCGGGGAGGGAATGTGGCGGGATGTCAAGTTGTTGCAGATTCTGCATCGTCAAACCGATACGTAGATGACCACTCCAGCCCCGCTCATCGTCCTCAATCTCAAGGAGGAAGATTTCTCCGGGCGCGAGAGGTCGGTCACTGAAGGCGATGGCGTCACCGAAGCCTTGCGCTCTCCTGGCCACCATCTTGTCTTTATCCAGTTGAATGTTTATTCCATGCCGGGCATAGAAACGAGGGATGGGAGGCATCCGAACTGGGACCTCCTTTATAGGCGCTGTCCGTTTCATTTTCCAATCTTCAAACTGTGATCAACACAAAAACAACAGGATGTCAATACAACGTTCAGACACTTGGACTTGGCTCTGCCCTAGTCTGTGTAGTGCAAACTCTGCCGTCTTTAGTAGCCCTGCCCACAGGAAGGCAGCTGGATGTTTACCCTGGAAGCCAGAACTCGTTTTCCGGGCCGCAAGAGCCATTCGCCTGCTGGTGTAAATTACCGCTACAGGGGAGTCTAGCCCGGGGGGGAGTTTGGCTGGCCTTTCAAACGTTCTCAACTCCCCGGTAATGGTAATTTAGATAGGCGGGCGAAGGGTTCTTGGCTGCCGAATGAAAACGGCTAACGGCCCGATACTAGTTAGGTATCCAGGGTACTGGATGTTGGGCGGGCGGCAATCGTAAAGCTAGCTCTGCCCATTCCCTATCAAAAATCAACTAAAAAATCCTGTAGCCACAATGCTGCTACCAAAAACACGGTTGAAAAGAACAAAAGAGCCAAAAATGGGAAAACAAGTCATCGCATGCAATCCCGCCATTTCGTTTCATGGCGGAAGATTAATCTCATAATATGGCACATTGTGGCCACATTGTGACATGTTTGGAACTAAAACAGAAAACTACAAATTTTGTAAATTATTATATTGCAAAGTTCCTCCATGCTCCATTGACGTTAGAGACAAACCCTAACGTTTATATTAACATGTAACGTTAACGTTACGTACTAAAACTCGTTGTACTAAAACTTGTTGTTTATATATATATATATATATAATAAACTTCCCGAGTGCTACAAAGTCAGTCTAGAAATACCTTTTGCCTTTTGTAAATACTGATTAACGTATTGGAGTCTGCCAGTGGCCTTTCTCTCAAGAAATTACCGTCCACCACAGTCTGCTGGTCCGTACTTCCGGGTTTATAAACTCGGGTGTGAGACCATCTTATCTTGGAGATGGACTGTACCAATGCTCCCGCTACCGGGGGATGATGGGCGTGAACATGAAATTTGAAGTAGAACATATGGTGACACCGTCAAAAACAACACTTCAAAACATATCTATTTGCATTTTGAAATCTTTGTCTTTTACCCCCACTGGAGAGTTGGATTTGTCGGGTTTATCTGAATTCAAAACGATAAAGACACCAGAACGTTTACCCCCTATCTAAGTGGATAAGTCAAATGAAGAGTAACAAATTTTCGTAAGATTTTTAAAAAAATACACACTGCTTTTCTCCACAAACAGACGCTGCCCAGACAGAAAACTGCACTACTTTGAAGATAATTTGCCAAGAAAAAAAACGTTTGATAAAAACAAGGCACGAAGTAAATGCGCATGCGTATGACCAGTCCGTCTCAAAACAAATAGCAGAGCATACATTTAACGATGTTACAGCACACGCACAACACTCGTACAAACATCAGCGCTGTGTTGAACGTAAAATACAAAGTTTTGAACCTCTTAAAAGTCTTAACAAAGCGTTAGTTAAGTTGATTAAGTAAATTAAGCTGTTTAAGCCCTTGTGTACTTGGTTGTTGAATACGCTGCTATGTTTAGTAAACGACTTCCCTCGCGCGATTTCATTGGCTGCTGACCTGTAACCTGCAGTGTGATTGGTCAATAATTGAACAGTGAGGAACATTTGAAAGAGGCCATTTTGCTGCTTATTTCAAACAAGCCTGCGGCCCAAGCAAGCAGTGAGTCCAAGCAATTATTATTTCGCAAAGAAAATCAAGTCTACCTCATCATGTCTTTCTCACAGAATGTCGACCCAGCTTCGATGGGGCCTGCGCAACAGGAGAAGGGCACCAAAGATACAAGGCGTGGTGAAAAACACACCGTTTCAAGAAGGTGACGACGCAACTTCTCTGCTTTTTTCTCACGAGTCAAAGTGATATAAATTAGTGAGCACTGAGATACTTTGTGCCCAGTGTGCTTTATGGGTCTGGCACCCAGGATAAAATTGTATAGCGCTTGTCCTTCTTCTTTCGTTATTCCCGAACATTTTCTATGTATAGTATGTAACGCATGCGTTATGTTCAAACGGTGACTTGTTGGGTAGCCTGGGTTCCAGACCCATAGCACACTGGACACAAAATATCCTGGCTTGAACTGAGATATTTTGTGTCCAGTGTGCTATGGGTCTGGAACCCAGACTACATGTTGGGTAAATTACCCAGATCATTGAGATTATCTCATAAATCTGTCGTTCGAAAAGTAATACATGTATCGGTGACCCGAGGTGCAAAATTTTGTCACAGAAGTTGTCACTCCTTGCTCCAGGTCAGCCGTCATGTGGAAATTCCTGCACCCGCAGCAATTTTGGGCGGACGTATGAAATTAAAATTAGAAAAATTAATTTTTGCCTTGAGTGAGTGAGTGAGTAATCTAAAATACATCGGCTACTCTTCCCGTAAGTTGCGTAACTGACCCTTTGTTAATCTCCAAGCAGATGGCTTTGGTCAGATCAAGGAGGTTTAACCTCCTGGGTCAGATCTGTCCGTTGCCCTCAAAAACAGTATCGAATTGGCCAGGCAGTACCGTTCTCCAGGCAGTTATTTGCCACTTTGGCAAAAACCGGTTGAATAAACCCATAGCAGTCAGAGAATCAGACCAGATTTTTCAGTGGAAAAACCCCTCGAAAACCCATACCAAACCAACTCGCGAGGTGCTTTTTGAAAACCGGATTTAAACCACTAAAAAACCAGTTGATTTGCATTCAGCCATTCACCCTAAGCTAACTAAAAACCATGGCTAAAAACCGGTTTTTGAAAAACTGGTTGAAACCGCTAAATAAAAATCTGGTATGAAGTTATGAACAGGGTCTAAGCTAAGCTGAAGCTGCCTACTAGTAAGACTACCCTGGTGCCAGGCTAGTATCAGGCAGTTTTCTTTCGGCAGCCAAGAGCCCTTCACCTGCTTATCTAAATTACTGCTATGAGTTGAACCCAGGGGGAGTTTGGCCAGCCCTTATTATTATTATTATTATAGGATAAACATGGTTAATTACTTTTATTTCTTATTTTCCAGATTGCAACAAGAACTTATGGGACTGATGGTAAGGCCATTATAATCATACTAAATATCATTCATTATCATTTCCTTGGCTTGAGCTAGTATTTTTGTTGGGTTAAATACAAAGCTTTCCTCACTTTACTACTTACTCAGGTGTAAAATGAGTACCTGACTTTGGTTGGGGAGGTTAAAGGTAGTGGAAGGGGAGACTTGGGCTCTTGATACTTAGCATAACAACCCACTGCCCCTACAGCCTAAAAACTGGCTTGGTAAAATTTTCAAAAAAGTATGAGTTCAGGAAGCAAGGCTCTTCACTAATCCGGAGGTTATAATTAAATAATGCTGATGTTTTGAGTTTTGCAGTCTTAAGTATTCCTGACAATACGTTTTCCATTTGTAGCAGTGTTTTTTTATGTCAATTACTCAGTACTTGTAAAAAAAAATGTGGAATGCTTGTGGACAGTTTCAACTTGTAAACAAGTGTAGACAAATTCCCCGACCCCTCAGTTAATTTTCGCAACTTGTTCCCTAAGTTAGTTAATTTTCGCGACCCGGCCCTTCCCAACTTAACGGCCTCTCAGCTGCAGTCTGGCGGAAACACTGTATGAGTATGACTACTATTGACTAGTATGACTCTATGAGGCATACTTTTACATTGTATGGTTGTTTTCTTCTCTGCAGATGTCTGATGATAAAGGTATCTCAGCATTTCCCAATGGAGACAGTTTGTTCAACTGGACAGGCACTCTCACAGGACCCATGGGAACGGTAGGTTTGCTAACAGTAAGATCAGATTGTGGCATCTCAGCTCGTTATATCATACCCAGGCCGCGATAACGTTCGATAACGGGTTCTGGACCGGGCCGTACTTTACGGTACGGCCCGGTCCGGAACCCGTTATCGAACACTTCCATGGCTTCCATAAAACGATTGTGCCCCTTTCGAAAATTCGAATACAGAATCCGGACGTTGGAATTGATGTTGTTGCATTTTAGGGTTTAGTGGCACCAACCTTTGGCTCATCTTGCAAATTGAAAGGCGTGTTTTCTTGGGTGGGTATGACATAAATAAAATACAACACGGTGTATTCTATATATATTTCCCTCCAGTGTTGAACTTAGCAATTTCAGGCAAAACAGAAAAATATTCAAGATGAGGAAATCTGTTATTGATATTTACTGCCATCAAAACACATGTTTGCCATCATTTCATACTTAAAATGTTTCACATAGCCCCAAAACAAGTTACGCGAGGACTCCCTTTATTTCTTGGTACCACCGATCGGCGATAAAGCTAGAACCAGCCTACAATACGAGACGAGCAACTGTTTTCCGTCAACAACATTGCACTTTTGCCTCGAGTCCGAGTATACTATAGCCTGGGTACCATCCTGATTTTCGCTACGCAACGCTCGAAGATTTTTTTCCGGATGGTACCCAGGCTATGATTTTTTCGAGCGTTGCGTAGCGAAAATCCGGATGGTACCCAGGCTAAGTATACTACGGAATGGCTTGAAATTGTCCTGATGTCAAATGACAGTAAGTTTTGATGGAGAAAAAGCAGATGTTATGGCCAGATGACTTATTCATATCATGAATATAATGTTTCTCATTCCTCTCAGGTATATGAAGACCTGAAGTACAAACTGTCGCTGGAGTTCCCCCAGGGTTACCCCTACAAACCCCCCACAGTACGGTTTGAAACCCCCTGCTTCCATCCCAACGTAGATGAACATGGAAACATCTGCCTGGATATACTGAAGGAGAAGTGGTCTGCTCTGTATGATGTCCGAACTGTTCTACTGTCCATTCAAAGTCTTCTTGGAGGTAACAATAATAAAAAAGAAAATATTTTTTTTTACTTCCATAAAAAACGGAGGTATTGTTTTTGGTATGTGTGTGTGTGTGAGTGCGTGTTTCTGTATGGCCCATAGTTCAGTTTGTAATTGGTGCGTTTAGATTCCCAGAGGGAAAAAGTCATTAAACACGTCTACATCTGGTATCGTGTGTGGTAGTGGTCAGTGTTTTTTGTTACATGACCTCCTTGACAGCTGACATTGGTGTTGTTTCCCTAAGGCCACACCAAGTAAATTTTATGGATGACGTCCTTTGGAGACCCTAAATCTAATGCGAGAGGGCGAAAAAAAAACAAGAAGGGCCCTAAAAAACAAGATGCCTAGATTAGAAATATACTAAGGGACCACAAATGTTAGGACACAAATTGAATGAGGTGACACAGTGTAACAAGCAAGAAGTCTTTTATTCATCATCAAAACAGCAATAAATCAGGTGGAACAGCAGTTGTCGTCCTGTCCTGTTTCTTTCATCACATTTTTGCAGGCCTGCAGAAACAAAGCATAAAATTGCGGCACTGTCGGCACTCTTTGGTCATAGTTATAGGAAGCAGAATTTCTTGTTTTTTTTCTAGGAACAGGCCAAAATCAATGCGCGCGCGGACGTCATCCATAAAATTTACTTGGTGTGGCCTAATACACAATAAAGAAAGACTGTATACACCATATAGTGAATGCGAAGAGGACACAGCTTTCACAATCATGCAAGATCTTAAGTATTTCATGGCGGTTTGAGGGCTCCAAACAATTGCCAAACAGGACAAAATACAAATTGAACCAATTGTCAAGTCCATGTGACATTATGGCCTTAATGGACCTATCACATTATTACGTCACAGTTTGTTTACCTGTTCTAAAGAACATTCTAGAACAGTCAGTTAAAGAATAAAGATCATTTCAAAGTTTTCAAATTCAAGTATGTTTGATTTTTGCTGCGTCTAGTTTTGTTGACACAGCATTACAAAATGAATATTGCATCACTTTAGCTTAAAGCTTACAAAAAGTATCAACATTCTCTGCCATCCACGTATGAAGACTCAGTACAAGCACTGTTAGGTTTAACATTAAGAGACGTATTAAGCACATTGTTAGTTTCTAACATAGTGTACTGTTTGCTTGACTCTGCTGACATTCTTGCTATTGCACTTTAAATGTTTGTGAAGTCTGAAGTTAGGCTTGTATATTTACTTTCAGAGCCAAACAATGACAGTCCTTTGAACGTCCATGCTGCTGGCCTGTGGGAGAATCAGTCAGGTACATTGTACATGTTCATGACAAGATTCATATTTTATAGCTGGGCTCCAGACTAACTTTTTGACTAAGGAGGACTAGTAATAAAACATCTCTTTTTCTATCTTTACTCACTGATATTTGTCTGTCAAAGATGACAGATTGGGCTAAATTTTTGTCATGAATCAAGTGCTCGTTTTTATTCGACAATCATGTAGTTGAAATTATGTCATATACTAGTAGATCTACTTATCTCGGCATTATTGTGAACTCAGCCGGCACGTTTAAAGCAAAAAAGTACTTGAGTTGCAAGGGTTTGAAAGCTTTATTCGGAATTAAACAGTCACTAGATCAAGCCAACGCCCCGCTAAAAACAAACTTTTCGACGCTTGTGTAAAACCTATTTTATTTTACAGCTCAGAAATTTGGGGCTCAGCATTCCTCCAAAGTTTTACGACTACCGAATGCCCAGCATTTATTGCCACTAGTCTCTAGTTGTAGTTGACATGAGATGGCGTCAGCTTGCAGACTGTCAGCTGGCACGTTTTGCGTTTTGGCGTATAAGAAGAAAATCTTGACCTGTACCTAGCCCGTCGTGGCATGAATGCACAATAAAGGTATTTCATCATTTCATTTCAATAACAAAACGGATGCTGGCTAAGACACGGGAGTATGCAATTGAACTTTCTTGTTGGTCGTACTAATGGCTTTGTGTGCTTTTCTTTGCTCTACAGAATACAAGAAGACACTTCTGGAGAGATATGAGAAAGACGTCAGAAGTAAAGACTTCAGCATATGATGCCACATTGCAATCAACTGACCAATCGCAATCACCTCAAGTTCATCATTCATTTTACTTCAAGTTACAGCAAACTTCATCAAATTGTGCTCTCAATTGATTGTGACTCTTCATGAAAAAACACAGCACAGTATATATGCACGTCAGGGAGATGATATTTTGCTATTTTAGATCCTTTTTAAAAAACAGAACATATACATTTCGTAATAAGATGCTGTCACCAAGTTTTGGGCTGTGAACCCCTTACTAGCTTTTATAGAAATTGTCCCCTTTTTGGTGACCTGTAACATTTCAGAATTATGCAAGGAAAGTCAGGCAGCCCGAGGTGTGTCTGTTAGCCAGCTGCAAGCCTGGGTTGTTGGCAACTGGAAGAGCTACATTCACCAATATTTCACACTTCCCATAATGCCTAGTAAATGGTCACAGATATGACGTAAGACCACCCCCCTCCCCCTTCCTCGATGTAATATTTCCAACAAGTTCTATCGACAAACTGGTCAACTATTGTTTTGAATTATTTCTCTAGTATAAAGCGCATGCCATAATTGCATCTTTGTTGGAATTAGAGAAAATGAGGTACCTTCTATCATTCTACCGAAGACTCTCGCACGGTCACATTACGTATATTATTATTAGAACGGTAGAAGGTACATCATTTTCTCTATTACATTGTAATAATAATAAATTCCAACAAAAATGCAATTATGGCATGCACTTAATACTAGAAAAATAATTCAAAACAATAGTTGACCACTTTGTGGATAGAACTAGTTGGAAATATTACATCGAGGAAGGGGGAGAGGGGTGGTCATACGTCATATCCGTGACTTTACTAAGCATTATGGGAAGTGTGAAATTGGTGAATGTAGGTACCCGGGCATCTGAGCTAAACACAGCTGGATACCAGGCAGTCCAAGGGCATTAAAGTCCTTCCCTGTACAAGATAATTTAACGCCCAAGTTGTTTTTTGTCTAATGTTACTACCTACTTTTGTTATTTGCTAAATGTAGAACGTACAAGTGCACTATAGATCTCGAATAACTTCCCATCTGCGATCAAAAGTCGTGCAAAATGCAATTAAAAGCCAAGCATGTTCCTGTAATCTGTACAATTAATTTTTGACTGCGTGATAAATGATTTTACTGGACTTACACAACTTTTGCACAGGAAAAATGCGAGGTTAAACCGTGTTTAAATGGCATTAGAAGTGAAGTTGTTCAGAAGTTGTTCTGTGGGGATGCCTTACTTGTCTGACCGTTGAACTTAAGGATGTATAGAAGTGACTCGAAAAGTTGTTACTGAGCCCTTTCTACTAGAAATGTTGTCTGTAATATGTAAACAATGCATCAAGCATTTAGACACAACTCTGTGCCAGCCTGGGTTCCATCCTGGTTAGTTTACGTCCGCTCCCAGTTAGCGACTGTGGGAGCGGACGTAAACTAACCAGGATGGAACCCAGGCTATCTCTGTGCATCCATGAAGGTTAGACATCCAGGTAATAAGATACACAAGAAAAGTCCAGCAACTGGCTAGATTTTGGAAACTGTCAGACATTCAAATAGCATCCACTACTTCTCATCAGTGCAAGTCAGTCACGAAAAAGTAGTGGATGCTATTTGAAATGTCTGACAGTTTTCAAAATCTAGCCAGTTGGTGGAGTAACTGTTTTCTTGTGGGCCGCCCCAATGGTTCAAGGCAATGATTCCTACTGACATATTATTTCTGTCTCAAACCATGCAGCCTCTACCAGGCTTGGGGAGGCGGCTGGAAAGAGTAGAAATCGGCCAAATAGAGGGATAAGCATGCCAAGAGAGTTTGTCCGTTGAGAGAAAATTTCACCGCACCCATTGTTCTCTCATCGGACAAACTCCCTTGGCATGCTTATCTCTCTATTTGGCCGATTTCTACTCTTTCCAGCCGCCTCCTCAAGCCTGGTAGAGGCTAAACCATGCACACAAGACTATGAAGGTGAGAACTTGGGCTTTGAGATGCATTTGGCATAATATAGTAATTATTTTTCCATTTTGAGTAAAGCTCCCCTATTACTGTAAATGATTACTTTATTCTTGGACATGGATTGTTAACTTGTATCTTTTCATTTTTATAGGAACAAGATTATGCAAACATTGTTTGAAATATAGTCAGAAATTGTCCAGGTGCATTTCTGCCTAAGTTTCACCAGATTTAACAAATAGCTCTGTATTTTAAGTTGCAGAAACCTTTGTAACACCATTTGATTTTTCACCATGCTACTTGAAACTTATTAAAGAGCAATACAATACAAATTGTGTTTTCTTTTGCAAAGGTAGTCCTGATAAGCCCCCATAAAGACCTGTATATTTGACATTTTAAAAAATCTGAGTTTTTGTTCATATTTGATATGTGAACATTGCAAGTCACAGTGTGACTGGTTTACTGTGCACTGAAGCTAGGTGTTACTGGTTAACTGTGCACTGAAGCTAGGTGTTACTGGTTCACTGTGCACTGAAGCTAGGTGTTACTGGTTCAATGTGCACTGAAGCTAGGTGTTACTGGTGCACTGAAGCTAGGTGTTACTGGTTCACTGTGCACTGAAGGTAGGTTCTACTGGTTCACTGTGCACTGAAGCTAGGTGTTACTGGTTCAATGTGCACTGAAGCTAGGTGTTACTGGTGCACTGAAACTAGGTGTTACTGGTTCACTGTGCACTGAAGGTAGGTTCTACTGGTTCACTTTGCACTGAAGGTAGGTGTTGCTAGCTTTAGTGCACAGCATCATAATTAGCCTTACGAAGATGGCAGGGTCACTGAAACTTCAGCTCTTGCTAAACAAGTGGTTGTGCATAAAGAACTTTTCCAGTTTGTTATAGTACATGTAGTCTAAGATTCGAATGTTGGCTATGATACAAAGGCTTTAGATAATCTAGTAGCTCATATATATGTCTAACGTTAGAATATCAGTCTAGCTGGTGAGAGCAGCTTAGAATAATTAGCTAGCCCACTGGTTCAAAGTGATTACAAATTATTCTAAACTGTTCTCACCATCTACATGTTGAGTGCGGTTGGCTAAAGCTTATAAACACGCAGATGGGATACTAGATTACATTATTATCTGTCTTGTCAGCAATACCTCAAAGGTCACAGTTCATGCCTGCAACAGATGATACAAGCCTTCAGTGCAGCTACTAGCTGGAGGAAAGGTGATGTGGCTTGATTAGAAACTGGTTAATTCGGTTCCATTTCCAGACATCACTGAGATCAAAAACAAAGTGGCGACACTTAGCAGACGTCCGGAGTATAACAGCAAGTCAGAGTCCAGAGGAAGTTTCCTGGCGGTCACCGGAATGTCCATCCAGCAGTCTGTGGCATCTGTAAATAGAACTCACTGGTGTTTGACTCAACAAATGTAATTACCTACATGAAAATTACCTACATGGAAATGTAGGTATTGTTTTTGGCCTATCTGTGTGCGTGTGTTTCCACATACACCGTACTTGTGGTCAGCATAACTTCAGAACACCTTTATGGATTGTGATGATATTTGGTGTGTCGGTAGTTCTTAGGAAGGTCAAGGTCAAATCTGGGCCTCCTGGTGGCCGACCTTGGTACTGCAGCAGAACGGTTTTTGTATCTTCTGTCCTGAACATGCTACGGTCTTGACATTTTGGTGGCAGATAGCTTTTCCTGTCAGGAATAATAAGTGGTGTGAGTCTGGCCCCCTAGCAGCTTGTCCTGGAACTGCAGGGGAGTTTCCAGCGAAATCTTTAAAAGCGGGTAACTCAAGAAAGAAACAGCGTGTTTTCATGATTTTTGGCATGTAGATAGCTTAGACAGAGATGTACACAAATGAATGTGAATTATGTAAATGAGGACTCAATTTGCATAATTAATGAAATTTAACAAAAACATTACTAGTACATTATAGGCTTTGATACATGTTATGTCTGTACGTGGAACATGAACACCTAATTTGCATGATTAACAAGAGTTCCACAATCTCATACCTTCGCCAAATGATGTTAACCCTTGCGGGTGACGAATTATACAATTTTAGTCATTGATTTTGTAAATAAGAGCCTCATTTGCATGCACTATGTCAGTTGATCATATTCTTCATCCAATGACAGCCTTATCATAACAAAAAGGCTATTTTAGCACTTCCTCATAAATTATGCAAATTAGGTCATGATTTGAATAAATTATGTTTGTTGATGTTCACCTTCACTTAACTTCCAAATGTGGCAAGTATGAAATTCGGGGTGCAGCAGTTACAACTATGAAATTATAAGAATTTTCCATTAATTATGCAAATTAGGTCCTCATTTACATAATATATATCCTCAGATGTTTTTCTCGTTCTCAAGTAGATGTCACAAGTGTTTCATAGTTCTATTATCGAACAAAGCAGAGTTATAGAATTTCCTCATTAATTATGCAAATTAGCGCCTGATTTGCATAATTGCCATCTGATCATGTCAAGCATCACTTATACTACTTACATACCAAAAATCACGACAATACGTCAACCGGTTCTTGAGTTATCGTCCTTCAAATTTTTTTCAACAAATGCTCCTGCAGTTCCAGAACAAGGCGCTAGGGGACCCAAACTCACGTCACTTCTTCCCTACCACAAGAGCTATCTACCAACCAAAATTCGTGACCCTAGCATGTCCAGAACATGAGATATCAAAACCGGAAGTTCAGCTGCAGTACCTAGGAAAGCCGCCAGGGGGCCCAAAATCTAATCATTTCTAGGTCTCATGAAGACCTACCCACCTACCAAGTTTCATTCCAATCCATTTACTGCTTCTCGAGTTATCTTGCTAAACCACACACAAACACACATACCCACACACAGACAAACGCTACTGAAAACATAACCTTCTTGGCGAAGGTAATAAAAAAAATGCTATAATTTCAAGATGTAGTAACGTCAAGATGCTATAACGTCAAGATGTAGTACTAGTATATATTATGTACGCTGTAGGTGGCAAACATGGCATGCAGGCCTCCCGAGTACTGCGGTGAGGCACTGACGGTCGCGAGACGGCCTCTTGCGGATCGTGGCTAAAATTGCATCTAAACACGTCCTAAATATCGCTATAGCGGTCCGATTTGGGGAGATTCGTTTTGATGAATGAATGAAAGTACGTTTATGCTCTAACAAGTACAGGTCAAGAATAAACAGGGAAAAAGAATACAGTAATGACACTTACATACTATACATACTAATGTGATCTACTATTTACACTCGGGTTCAACTTCTCGCTTCTTGACGCAGTTAAAGATTTTCAAACATATTGAGCTAATGATACATGGTTTGTCAAGTTTCATGTGAAGAATTCGAATTTTTCTATTCTGTGCTAAAGCTTGGGAACTTATCTATTACATAAGAATAGAGGGAATCCCTCTCATTTCTATATAATTGTCTACAAAGCAAAACGTCTCCAGAAAAAC